AGCGAGAGGAGGCGGTCAAAAACAAACTGTCCGAACCCAGGTTCGAACTGGGGACCTTTCGCGTGTGAGGCGAATGTGATAACCGACTACACCATTCGGACTGATGGTTGTGCTGCCACTGGCAGCCGGGGCTTTTATTTTTTTCCCCCCCCCCTCCTCTTGCCGGTCCCCGAACCCGCTCACAGGGGAGTGCCATATTCTCCGGGTGCGCGGGACCATTCTCGGCAATGAGGCGGCGAGGCAGGGCGGCCCCTTTCGAAGCTCGCTGGCCCCCAGCGGCCAGCACCCGGCAAGTCGGAGAGAACAGATCGAAGGGAGCTCCGCCAGATTCCGGGCTAATGGTTGGTTTTTTAATTCCCACCCCGATATATCCCCCTCCCGGCGCTCCGTTGCGCTGCTTGCCCGACACCTCCTCGCCCGTCTCGCCTGGTCCCAGACTCGGATTCCCAGGGGTGGGGCTTCGTCCGGCCCGGTCTCTCGGGGTGACCCGGACGCCGCCCGAGAGATGGCCAGGGCCCACCCCCACGCGAATGGTCTCCCGGTCGGGCACCCCAAAAAAGCCCGCCTCCGGTCCTCCTCCCCGCGAGAGGCACCATTGCTGCGCAGAGAGCCATGGGGGCTCCCCTGCTCGCCGCAAGTGCATCCGCATGGCCCGCTTTTTGGGAGGCCGGAATCCGATGCGGCCGATCGCCAGCCCCACCCCGCCGGGGGCAGATGCATAACCTCGCTTGCCATGGCCAAGGTGCTTCTCCTCGGGCCGCTCCCCTCCCGCAGCCTCGCCCTTTCGCTCGCCCGGAGTTCCCCCTGACCGATTGTGTCTGCCCTCGCCCGCCCGCCGCCCCGCACACGCACCATCATCGAACTGATACACGGCCGGGTTGTAGCAAAAGGCCACTCCGGTGTATTCCTCCCTCGGCCCGGCCCTTGGCATGGGCGGGGCAGCTTCGGACACAGGACACCAAAAGGGCGGGGGGGGGAGGGGGGGGCGAAGAAGACAGACACGCACACGGCCCGATGCCGGGGGTTGCTGTCGGAGAGGGGGCGAGCAAAAAGAAATGGGGACTAGAGGGATCGAACCACTGACCGCTCGATCTGGAGTCGAGTGCTCTACCACTGAGCTAAGCCCCCGGTCTTGGGAGCACATCAGGCATCCGGCTATTTGATGGTTGCGCGCGTGGCTGGCGTGGTAGGGCCGAGTCGCGTGGCCGCCAGCACTAGGCACGGCCACCGCGCCGGCCGCGTCCGGTTCTCGCCTGTCTTCCACTCCGCATGCTCAAGGATCGATCGGCAGCAGAAGCGTCCGCAGGGTCAAGTTCACATCAAGGGCCTGCGCCAGGGCATCCATCGAAGTGGGGTCCATACGTATCCCTTCGGGGTTTTCGATAGCAGTTTGGAGTGTATGGGGAAGGGGGGGGGGCGGGGCGCGAGCCATTCAAAGTCCCATGGCGCAAAGGCTGTCAGTGGGTGCGGGCGAGTGTGATTGCCTGCGCTCACGGCGACACCCTGGCAGCCGCCTCCAGCCAGGGAGCCATCCTCAAGAGCAGATGGCCGAGGGCGCACCGGAAAGGTCCAAAGCCTCCAGGGTGGAGTTCCGTCGAAGCATCGTCGAAAGGCGTGCGGCTCCACGCACACCAATTGGATTGGCTGCGCCGCATGTAGCCCCCCCCGCCCGCCCCCGGCAGTCGTGTCAACGGTCAGCAGCCTGTGTGAGAGGGAAGCCCTCCTCCCTCCTCGCCCCCATGCCGAAAGTGTTTAAACCGCCGGCTCCACTCGGGCCCGGTGCGATGGACCCATTCCTTCCCTTGAGGGCGAAAGAAAAAGGCCAGTTTCCCTCCTTGTGGGGGTCCGCGTACCGGAGAGAACCAACCGGCGGATGCTGGTGTTGTCATCCAGCGAGTTGGCCAGCAGTCGAACGGCATGGTCATCGAGGTGGCAGTCTTCGCCCGGGCCATGCGCAGGTTAGATCCCCTCCGCCCGTGGCAGGGTCCCCCGGGGCCGGCGTCCCCGCCCCGGGTCCCGGCCCTTGCGTCTTCTTTGTCACCCGCCCGCCCGTCCGCCCCCCCCCCCCCCCCCCCCCCCCCCATCCCGCTCCCTTACCGCCCTCGATGCCGGGCATCGTCCAGCCCAACGCACTGGTTAGATCGACATCGGTGATCGAGGGAGCGCTCTCGAGCAGGGCCACCAGGGCCAGGATCTGATCATGTCCAAAGATGTTTCCTGGGCCCGGTTTGATAGGGTGGTCACGGGAAGGGGCGCATGGGGCTGTCAGGGGTGTCCGAAAGGCCGCCGTCCTTTCCCTCGGTCGAGTAGGGTGACATGGCATGTCCCGGGGTCTGGCATACCATGGAAGTTGATTCGACGCAGCCGTGGCCAGGACCGAAGGAAATGCACCACCGAGATCAGGTGCTCCCCGGATAGATGGGCATCTCCGAGGGGAGGCAGGCCGCGGAAGGGAGGGAGAGGGGGCCGGGCGCAGGCAAGGGTGCCATCACCCAAGGACCGGAGGTTGCAGAGGGTCAGCGAGGCGTATCCACGGGCGGCAGGCGGGCCTGGCCATTTGGCCCCCGCTCTGGGTGTCTCGGAGCCGCCCCCACGCGCCGGGTGCGGACATACTGATGAAGGAAATCGACTCGAGCCCGGCACTTTCCGGCGTGAAGGCAAGCACTTGGGCCAGCTGCTTCGGGGATAGCTGATCCAGCGGTATGTCTGTGTCCGCCCGGTGGGACAGCGCCCGGAGCAAAGGTGGGACAGCACGTTAGGCCGGCACATTGACACACTGGCACCGAGGCCCACCAGACCGGACATTCAATTGGCTAAAGGAGGTACTTTGAGACGCGTGTGCCGGTGGGCAGCATAGGCCCGTGTGGACGGGCCACCGAGGGGGCAGGGTCCTTGGCCGCAGCCACCGGCTAAAGTGTGCATGTGTGTGTGCGTGTGTGTGTGCGTGTGTGTGTGCGCGTGTGTGTCTGTGTCGGTTGAGGGGCAAGGGAAACAGCCATGGGCGCACCGCTTAGCTGGAGGATGCGCAAAGACCGGCACTGGAGGACATTCATGAAGAAGAAGGCCAAATCTCCCGTCGACAGGCCAAGGGCGCCTGGCCCATGCACGGCCCGGGTGTCAGTCACTGGCGAGCCACCGCGAGCCGGAAGACCCCTCCGCCTGCCGGCTGCCGCACCATTCAGCGAGAAGACCCGCAGGCTTGACGCTTCGCTGAGGGTTTCCGACAGGAGGCGAACGCTCTGCGGCGGCCATCCAGACGCCGGGACTGGACCCGCCATGAAAGCCCGGCCACACCCGCATGCACGCCGCCGGGGAAGTTAGCGCCCCCCCCGCAGGAGGTGTCTCGACGAGGGCAGGGAAGAAAGGAGGCAGGCGACCCACGTACCATCCAGGCGCAGGGAGTGGGCATTGTGAATGTCGCTTTCCAGCTGGCAAAGCGGGGAGATGCGGGTTTCTGAGACATCCACCGGGTCAGCCATTGTTCGGATGCCAGGCAGGGCGGTGGTCGGGGGAAAGGCCCCAGGAAGGTCGTACCCACGGGGATGCCCTTGTCGCGACGTCCGAGGCGATCTGCCCCATGGTCGTGGTGGTGTGAGGGGAGCCGAGGATCGGCCAACGGGCGCACGGGGGGCAGCATGTCAGCATCAGGCCGGCAGGGGAACGGCTTGTTGGGCGGGCCCGCGAGCGGCATTTGCGCTCGCACACTCAATCAGCTCCGGCATGTTGAAGGGCACGTCCAACCCAAAGGCCGGAGGACCAGGAACAGCGCCGAACACCGGGCAGCAGGGGAAGGAGGGAAGGGGCGGCGGCGGCGGGCCGGATAAGGCAGCGAAGTGAGCAGGCACGCAAGGAGGGGCGGATAGGGGGGGGGGGGGGTGGATGCCAGCCATCCCGCCCCGGCAGGGGCCCGAGCCGGCCGAAAAAGCCCCAGCGATCTGGGGCGCCGACCTCGCCCGATCGACACGATCCGGCCAAAAAAAAAAAAACCCGGTTGCGATCGCTGGCTCCTTCTCCGGCCGCCCCGCTCCCCCGTGGGGGGGGGGGGCCCCGGCGAAGGGGGGCCGGGCTGGTGGCTTCTTTGTTTGCGATCGGCCCCACACGCGACCTCCGAAGTGGGCACAAAATAAACAACAAAAATGTGCAGGCACAGAGGTGGGATTTTTTGAGGCATATTTCCCCCCCCCCCCCGGGCATGGGCCTGCCCCCACGGTCCACCACACCGTCCAGGCCGGCCCAAAAGGAATGGCCCCAGCCAGGATCGAACTGACGACCTTCGCGTTATTAGCACGACGCTCTAACCAACTGAGCTATGGGGCCCTCGTTGTGGAGTTACCCTCCGAAAGACATAATATTCTCTTTGCTTTGGAGATGCACCGCGTTTGCCCTGTGCACTTCGGGCCTTCCGCCCAGGAGGCGACAAAGTTGGCCAATCAGAATGCCCTGCGCATGCGCGGCTATCCCCCAGTTCCATCCGCCCAAAGCCCGATCATTCTTCTGGCAGTACTCTCGCTCGGGCCCTGGGGCGGGGCGCGCGGGGAATTGGTTGTTGTGCGTGGCGGGGCTCATCCGGGACGGTCGGGGCCGGGCAGGGGGCGAATCACACCAACGACCCCATGCACCCGGTGAGAGTCCGGACAGAGAGGGGACGCGCCCGCACCGGGCCCCTGCCAAGTGTTGTTATAGCATTTTCCCGGCCCTCTAGTTAACGAAGTCCCGATTAGTATAGTGGTGAGAATCCCCGCCTGTCACGCGGGAGGCCCGGGTTCAATTCCCGGATCGGGAGCATCCTTTTTTGATGACGGTCGGTCTGCCTCTTTTTTCTCCCCCTCTCTTCTGGCCCGGGCCCATAGCTGGAGGATGTGACCACCCGAGAAAAAGTACCAACCCCAGAGGCGGCAGGGGAGCACACATACGCACACATACGCACACATACGCACACACGCACATACACACACATACACACACACACACACACACATACACACACACACACCCACACACACACCCACACCCACACACACACGCACCGCACACAACCACCCCCCCACACACGCACAACATACACCCACACACCCACACCCGCACACGAGCCACCCCCCCCACCACCCACACCCAGCCCAGACACCACGCACACACACACGCACCGCGTGCACCGGAAAGGCACCCCCCCCCTCCCCCTCCACGCATGCGGACCACCGCCAGCGGCGAAAGTGATCCCGGGTTTCCCCATACAGGCTCCCCGGGCACACCCGGAGAAATAAACGAAACACCAGAGACACACCCCAAAGGGAGGGAACAAGGAGATGCATTTTTCGCTGCACACCTCCGCAGGCACCCTGCATCTAGACCCCGAGGGGGAGGGGGAAGGCAAGGAGCGAGGGGGGAGACCCTTCGCACGAGGGGGAGGGGCGGCCCAAAGGCAGGGGCACAAGGGCAAGTACCACGCCGACAGGTCAAGATGACTGGTGCGGGAGGCTTTGGTGCTCCACCTCCACATAGGAGTCAGGCAAATAGAATAGCCCCTGGCATTGGACATACTGCTCAGCCTGGGACCCGGCAGGGGGGGACACCGCGCCGGAGGCTGAGTGACCTTCCGGTGACGCGCATGCCCCGGCGGCCCCGGCCACCTCGGCCATCGGGCCATTCGGCTCGAAGACCGAGTCCAGCTGCGAAGTCGTCGGCAGAGAGGCCCCCTCGAGCCCGGGGGGAGTTGCTTGAGCCGGCCCGGCGCCAGTGTCCGGCAAACTGCCGGCGGGGGATCCCCCCATCGAGGACGACAGGCCGGCCGCGTCAAATACCGTGGCCCGGCCGAAATCCACCACCAGCTGCGCGATCTTGAAGAAGGGCACCTCAATGCGAACCGGGAAGCCAGGCGGGAGCCGCGCCGAGGCCGGGGCCGCACCGCCGACAGCCGGAAGATGACTCTCCGGCCCCGGGGGCGAGTCCGTCACGCCGAAGACCGCCGCCACGTGGTGGAAGACTGTGAAGGAGGAGCGCAAGGCCCGGATCACCGGCACAAGATGCTCAATCTGCAGGGGGAACTCGGTGCTCGAGGAGATCTACCAGGCGCGAGTGTCAGCAGACGGGCACACACACACACAGACACATGGGTGCACATGCTTCGGGGCAAGGGGGGGGGGGGGGG